GTGTTTACCGTAAGAAAGTTAGTAGAAAATTCGAGTTTTTTCAAAGACTATTCGCCCCATCGACTGAACTAATTGAGGCATGTAGTGGGTCAGGCGCAACCAGACAACTTCTAAAGAATAATGTATGTTATACTCAATTAAAAAAAAACAAAACTATATTGATCAGAATTGCTCAAGTATCATCGATTGCTACTATCGGTTTATCTCATCTAACGATAGTAGTTCATCTGAGCTAAATTTAAAACATATATGAGACAGATAGAGTTTTTTTTGTCAAGAAAGAATTTTATTATTAATTTATATTAAGATGTTCGCCATTTTGACAACATATCTACTTCCATCCAATTTGAGAAGCACGTTTCAGTCATAAATATATATTTATGCATAACTCTTATTAAACTATAAATTGCAGACTATCAGAAAATTTAGAAGGTATGATTGTAGATGTAAGCCTTCTCTTAATCTTTATTTTACACATAATGGTAACGAAAGACAATGACAATTTATTCATTAAAATTTGTCAAAGATTTTAATCACTGAAATTTTATTTTCATTGAAATAAAGCATATATCATTGAATAGAGCTCGTTGAACAGTATTTAGCTCATTGTAGACCTGCGTTGGCTAAGTCGCTAGGACGAACCGCTTGCTAACTTCATTTATGCAAACTTTTGTTTTTTTCAAACAATGAAATTATTATTAAGTATCCAAATTTCAATCTATACTGTCTGATACTTTTTCAACATCTTCCTTTATAAATGAATTTTTATTATTTGTCGTTTAAATTAAAAATTATTAATATTTTATAGATGTTTCCTATAAAGTATATTGCTGAGTTTAAAACATTGATGTCAATTACGTTATTAGATTTAGTGCAAAAAATAAATTGACTGTTTCGCATTAGTGTTCTGCAACTCGGTTGAATATTCAGCACATAACTCGACTCGGGGCATTAGTTTAACTATAGAATTATCGAGTCGGATCGAATACCACACTTGAAAAAAATTGTCCATTCAGGTTTGGATATAATCACATAGTCGTATCTCACCTAGCAACTATAAATATTTTGATAATTTAGGACTATTTGCATCGTTCGAAACTATTGACATTTAGAGATATTAATGAGAAAAATTATTTGAGCATGCCTTTACAAAACTGACATCCGTGAGAGAAGCTGACATGTATAAATAGATTTATTTTCAATGCGATAAATTATAGAATGAATGATCAAGCACATGAGAAACACAGGTCATTCGAAAAGTGACAGTGTATTGTCATTATGAAAAATTTATTCTTGTGTATAAAGGATATCTAATAATTTTTGATCTTCTCAATTAATATTCTTACATGTTTCTTCTCTAGAATAGACTGATATATTACCAGAACTCAAGAAAAAGAATATACGTCAATGATAATACATATGCTCTTCAGATTGATCTATTACTTATTTCAATTAACTTAGTAATTTTTCTATCAGTTACTCATACTTTTGCTGGAATAGAAATTTTCAATTTTTGCATTATTGAAGTTTGTTTTCTTTGTTTTAAAAGAATCACGGCATAAAAGTTAATTTGTCTACTCTTGTAAGTCATTCGTATGTTTCTTTTTATTTGTTTTTGCATGTTACAAACATCAGACAAAAGCAGATTGTATGATTCTTCTCTATTGATAAAGTACACAGAAGTAAGATAGAAATAGTAAAAGCTACGCGTAGTATAGTAATGATCGAATAACTACAGATTTTTTTCATAATCGACATTTCTAAAACTAATACAAACTCTTACTATGAATTGTGCATTGCTTATAGTTATATCTATAATTATAAGTGATAGAAAGTTCAAAATCGAATGTCGAGTACATATAGACATATTGTAAATGTCAGTCTATTCTCCTGAAGAGATATATAAGAGAAGACTTTTACTTGAGAGGATGAAAAATTATTAGATATCATCTTTTATGTTTATGTGTATAGAAATTGTCATGTTCTATCTCGATTTTTTAAAACTCTAGCCTCACTAACAGTTAGAAAAAGTACACTTCCAGTCATGCGGAAAAAATTTTTTTACTGATGTTGAAAGCCATTATGTGTGATAATTAATTTAATGCAGCCACTTTCTTGTGTAGTGCTTTTGGTTTGTGGTATGCACTTATTTGAACAAATCAAATATTTTTAAGATAATAAAGTGTGAAAAAGTATTATGATTGGAAAAATTTACCGAATGTTAGGTACTACCGAATGAGCCTTGAGCACAGCTAATTCGACTCAGTCTGAATCTGGATAGATGATTATTGGATAGCTGTCGGTTCGGATAATGAAAACTATTTTCGAGTTCGATTCGGACGAGAAAAGTTAGTGATAACCGTGTGGGATACTATTCGAAATATTTTGTTGAATTTTTTACCTTGGTGCAAAGAGTACGTCCTAATAATAAGGTTGTAACTCTGCAACTCCTTTGGGTTTGACTCTCAATAAGTGAGAAAGAAAGATCATGAAATTCTGCACATATCTTTATAATAGACTAAGTAGTCTTAAGAAGTCTATCATTTGTGCATCATAACTATGATAATAATAATTTTTTTTTGTAAACTCAATATGAATACTATTATTGTGGATTTATGTAGTTTCTCTTGCTCTACAAAATAATATATTGACCATGGTGATCGCTTAGTTTATGGAGGGTTAAAAAGACATGACATTTCATCTATTTGACTCACCATAAACTAATCGATCAACATGATCCATATGTCATTTTGTAAAGCATGAACAACTACATAGACCTGTCGTAACAGTTTTCATATTGAGTTTACACAACAAAAAAAACCATTGTTACCATAGTTATTATGCAGAAATGATAGATCTCTTGTTAGTCTTCGGAAAACTTTTTTGCGTTAATCAAAAAAAATAAATACCCAAAAATGAGCCGAATGTCATGCCCTACCGTTGTAACTTATTGGAAACTAAATCTAGAAAAATGGCAGATTTGCAATCTTATCCTACGGTATCTTTAACAAAGCTTCCTAATATGTCGTTCTTGACATTAAGTAATGCAAAGAAGAAAAGGATCTCGATTGATATACTTGATTAGAAAGGGTAGTCAAATTTTATGATCAAACGAATCTTTTTAATCCAACTCGAAATACTACATATGTTAATAAAGGAATCAAGTTTTTTGTGATTTCACTGTTTGACAAACATCAATATAAATAGATTGAATGAAAAAAAAAACGTTCGATAACAATATGATTAATCATGTTAATATCTTCGATGATTGAGTAAAACGTCTAACATAATATACAAAAGATTTGCCTCATAAAAGTCAAGCGCAATTTCAATTCTTTCTGCGTATCTCATCAATTTAATTAGTTGAGAAGACATTAAAAATGTGTAAGTAGAATAAACAATTTGTGCTTCACTACAAATTCATCGACTTCTAAGGATGCAGACTGTTATATTTCATATTATGTTATTTAGTAATTACTTTCGCACTGGATAATTTGTAGTGTAATTTGATAAAAATAAGAAACGAAATTATCAGTTTATTTGTGACACGATATTTCTAACTGCTCTACTATTTCTTTAAGTTTTGTTTCTTTATATCTTAAACAAAATTTTAACAAAGATTTCATTCTAATACAGACTACTATATAAACCAAATATAGTTGATAATACTTATCTATATATTTTCTAGCATATACTATCTGCTAACTGTATGCAGTCGTTCATTGTAGTTAGTCTTCTCAAATGATATTGATAAATACAATATAAACAGCTGTTAGACAGTCTTCTTATAGATATTTTATCCAGATACGAAATTAATTAAAGAAATTTATCTTGTAAAGAACAGACGATAGATCATCAAAAATGACATATGAACTGTATGATTAATCCAACATATTTACATTCTTCATCTTACTTTATCTTTCAATTTAAAATATCAAACACTCAGAAGACGACATGAAAACAAAACAAAACAATTATAAATCATGTTTATATTTAAGTCTAATGAAAAGCAAACAAGTCCATATGTCTGGATATGTTCTGGATGAAAGGCTATTCTTAAAGCTATTATGGTTTGAATTAAATCTGAGATGCAATTAATTTCATGCGACAGACAGTTTGTCACCCGCCTACTTTCATAATATGTTACCATTAGTCAATTAACAAGAGATACTTCCTCTGATATATTTGCCTCTTACCAAGTATATCTGCGTTATTAATAGATACAATAGTATACAAACTACGGAGTAACATCATTGTGTTTTTTTTTTACTAAATAAAACTATTGTTTATTGCGGATAAACTTCTAGTTGAAAAATCTAACGAAAACATGTATATAATCCATTGTCATTATTACTTTCGTAATTAATCTCAAATAAATTTTTAAAGAAGTAGTATTTCAATCCAACCATTTATTCTACTAATAAATTAGTTCGTGTCACACCTGAAGACAACTTTTTCTTTTTTTTTTTCTATTACTATCATTGACAAGAATACGGGCTCTTCTAACATATTAAATCTATTAGTAATGTCTATCATATTCGATTTAATGAAAAATTCTGTCTTGTTTCAAAAGATATGTGGGCTGATAGAATTCTGTATTATTAACCTTTACTGTTATGCAGCTACCTAAAACCTATAAGAGACATAGTTACAGATTAACAGTTTGTCCTATGGACTAAATAGAAAATGTGTCAATCATATCTAGTTATTTGCTTTTTTACACATTGTATAATTAGACAATGACGATGAGAATGGCTAATGCAAAAACCATTCGCCCCTCACTTAGCTAAGAATATTTTTTTTTGTTGCTTTTTTTTTCTTCTCCATCCCACACTCAATATATATGTTTACATGTCAAGTCTATCACACAATTACTTAAACTATATACATACATAAATATCTAACATCATTTCATATTATATGACAAAGTCTCTGAAAAATACCAAAATGGTAAGTACAAAACAAAACACACACGCACACTAACAATCAAAAAGAAAAGACTAGTTTTTTAACACTTTGTTTATGCGCTTTTGTAATTTTTCACGTCGACTTATTTCTACAGAAATGTAAAAAAAAACAATGATTAAGTAAATTAAATTTTTTAAACATACCAAATACATCAATAAACATATTAGTAATAGGCATAAAACGTAATAAATCATAGAAATTTGTTGTTGATTTTTCATTTACTACATCTATTATAATGTCTCGTAATTCATTGAGTTGTTCTTCGAGTAAATCATTTTTAAATATAATATCTCTCATTGTTTTCATATTTTCACAATCAAATCTTTCTTTTAAAATGAAAACAAAAATTATTTGAATGATTTTTCTTTTTTTTTTCAAACCTGGAAAAAAATATTCAATAAATTTATTTAAATGTTTATAAACAATTTGTTTTCTTTCACTAATCATATCATTTAATGCTTTATATTGTAAATATTTTGTACTATTAAATGAACAATCATTTAAATTTTCTTCTTGTCTTATATCAATAAAAAATATTCGATTTTCAAAATAATCAAGTATATCATTATATTTATTATTACATCGAAATTCATCTAATAAATGTTGACGTTCAGGAGAATTTAATGTATTTACTTCATCGATATCAGGACGTGTATAGAATGTAATTAATAAACATGAATTATTATAAGCTTTTTTAGTTAATACTGTTTCTATTAAGAATAAAAAACAAAAAACAATGTTAAGTTTTTTATAAATTTTTTTTTTTTTTGTTTTTACCATAAACTTCTGAAAATAAATTCGCTTCATCAGATGTAAATACATCCATACGAATACAATAGAAAACTAAATATAGATATTAAAAGTAGATTATAGATTTTAAAATAAGATACTAATAAATACTTATATCAAAACCATTTCGAATTTCTTTAAGAAAAAGAACAACTTTAAGTTTATGTTCATTTTCATCTTCTGTATCACGAAAACCAATTGTATCAATATATGTTACATTATGAAATGTTTTATAAAAGAATTCTTTTGTTTTTGATGATACTGAATTACCTAATGGTTGATTTGAATTTGAAAGTAAATTAAATAAGCTTGTTTTTCCTTAATTCAAAACATAAAACAAGTACGTAATATCAATTATTGAGAATAGGTGAAATTACCTGAACCAGTTCGACCGAGAAAAACAACGATTTTATTATCATTCAGGTCATTTGAAATATTTTCATTATTATTAAGTGCAAGTGCGTTATGATTCATGAACTTCTGTCTTTTTCTCGTGGTTAAATGAATAAATTTAGATTAAAGAAAAGATAAATAGTCGTTTTAAATATTCGGGGAGAATATATATTTGACATGATTCATTTACGATTATGTCTTTTTATTTCTTCGTTTTCTGTCCAAAATCGATTATACGGAAAATCTATACGATCACGATTCGTTCGTTCTATTTGACATGATTAAATCTATTTGTATGCATATGCTTAAAAAGAAAGAAATATTAAAATGGATGCATTATTATTTGTTCGAATGAAACTATTTTTTTTTAACAAGGCAATCAGACTAATTTCATGTGAATGTTTTTTTTTCCTATGAGATAAATTATTCAGTAAAACGTTAAATATATTAATTTTTTTAGTAAAGATTCTCATTTTCTTTTGTTAACGAAGTGCATATTCTCATATAATCAAACTTGCTATAAAATAGGAAGAAAAAAGAAGAACATACATAATTGTAATCCAACATCATAGCATAGATTGTTATATTAGGTAGGTGAATATATATCAATTGTAGAAACTTAACTAACGAAAAAAACTTTTGCTTTTTTCTTTCTTGTTTTGTAATTCGTATAAGTATACAAAAAATAAGAGAATGTTTCAAATTGGAGCACATCTATACATTTATATAGAGAAAAACATAATAATTTAGTATTAAAATACAAGTGATCACAGCGTAAAAGTCAGATGTGTTCTGTTAATTTATTTTGAAAACTAGAAAGAAAAAGAAAAACATTTCTACAAGTTCTTCTCAATAATTTTCTTTTATAATGATTTCTTCCAATAAACAAACATTTTCTTTATTATACCCACTGCACCTCTCATATCAGAACTCTGCATGACATGGCGTGGAACAGAAATTTTCGCACACTTCCGTATTTTATGGAAAGTCTATCAAAAGACTTACATCCCATGTTTTTCATGAGACATAACGGAAGTGTCCTATCCCATACAGATTCCTGTTTTATATATGTGATCATATTTCTTATATAACAAACAAAAAATTCCTATGAATTTACAGGTAAGGGATGAATTTTTCGAAATCAACAAAATTAATGTTAATTTCACTGATGAAGTTGTAAACTTACCATTTAGAAAATTAATAGAACGAATCTTTTCATATTAATATAAGGTCATAATGACTACTTATTTTAAACCTTGAATGAAGAAGAATATATTTTCATGATTATTTAAATTTTACTCTAGGTAAAAAATCAAATATTCTGCCAATGGATAGTTAAAATGTAAAGAATTATTTCTTCTTTCATCCTTTCTTTCACTAAGACAATCTTCACAGCAGTTGTGCTTTTTGAATTGTTTTCTTTTTGAAATTTCTTTTATTCATTCTAATTTTTGATACTCGTTGAAAAAATCAAAGCAGATTAGAATGATTTCAAAACATCAAAGAAACACTCAGAAGCACTGCTTCAATATATACTACATTGCGCAAACATTCAAAAAGAAAAACAAACAAAAGTTTTTAGAATGTATGATTCACATCTTTCAATGATTTTCGTAATAGATGATTATTTTTCGATTATAAAAAAATTTCCACAAGTTTCGTTTTAAATTTTAAAATTATAATTTTTTTAATATAATTCTTTATTTTCTTTTAGTTTTTTTTCAATTAAAATATACTATAAAATTTCATATAAAGTCAACTATTGATCATGTATCGTTTGACAATTCTACTTGTTTTTTTATGCATTTTATTTATTCAACAACAAGTTACTTGTGTTGAGCTTTCATTTTCTGATGAAATTGAAGAACGTCCAACTCGATCCCATTCACCATTATTATCATCTTTACATAAATCATGGTATAAGCAATTAAATGATATAAATGAAAGTGAACAACACGACGATCTTGAACAATTATGGAAACGTTTTGTATCAGAATTAACATCACTTCGACAAAGACGACGTTTTGGTAATACTCGTTATGGTCGCAGTTTATCTTCGAAACGTAAATGAAACATATTTCAATATTGATTCTATTGTCTTTATTAGATGCATGTAATTTCATTATAATAATTACAACAAGAATATCAATAAAATGAAAACATGTTTATATATATAATCATTTATATGTATTGAGCAATGCCAGACGTATTCACTTGTCATTGACAAGTCGATTTGTCTATCTATTTATCTATTGATAAGACATATACAAAGGATAGATTTTATGGCTATTGAAGGTAGAAGAATAGAATAAGAGAAAATAGATATCATCAAGGGCTCTCACTACTTAGTGATAGATTCAATCAGCAGTAGCACATCAATCTTATATATTAATATGTCTAATTGCTCAAATCAAACAAAAGAAAAAAAAAAGAAGGTTGAACATATAATCTGACATCTGATAATCATTTAGCTAACTCTAAAAAAGAATAAATAACGTAAAGCACGCATACTTTAGAAATCATTATCTGATTTAAATTATAATTGATAACAACACAGGAAAAGTCTATATTTGAACAGCCGTTTGACGGCATACTTAACTATTATTGTGATGTATTTATTATCTTGCCCGGAAAACAATACATTAATGTTCAATTGACAAGATAGAATAAGATATTCAACGTTTTATTACAAGATAAATATAAAGTCAAGTTCAAGAATTTTGACCTTCTTTTCTTTTTTTTCTTCTTCTTCTTCTTTATTGTCAATTGACGAATTTCTATAGTTTTAGAGTTTCTTTTTTTTTTCTTTTCTATTCTTGTTTATATCTATTACTGTGATATGATCTATGAATAAAGGAACATCGACATGAATGACGTGTGTGTCTGGTCAATGTTTTGTTGATTTATTTAAAATAATACAATATGAAAAAGGCGAGACTTATGCATCTCTCATTGATTAATTCTAATCACGATCTTTTGTCTATCGATATAGTCAGAGACGAAAAGTGAGAAAAGAATGATTAGAGAATAACGATTAGTTAGTGATGAACGATGCATAAGCACATACGATGTCATCTGGAATCATACATTTGTCTCATATATGCTTAACAGAGCACAAATCGTTGGTTTCTAATAGAAGGTTGCTTTTTTTCTGTTCGACGATTAATTGCGAAAGATTAAAGTAAATATTCATTATTAATTATTTCTTGTTGAATATTCGACAAAAAAAAATTATTATAAAATTAAATGATCAAAGATATCATAGAAATTTATAATTCTTGCATCATCATTCAGTTCAGACTTGATCGATTTTTTTCTCCATAGGCGATATGTTCATTGATTCGTTCGAATAATATTTATGTATATATGCGCATCAACTCTAATCAAGTGAATGTGCACAGCAGCCATCGTTACATCTTATCGACAGAAGAAAGAGAGAGAGAGAGTACATAAGAACATAAAGAAATATGCAGAAGAATGTTAGCCATCATTTGTATTGAACCGTCGCGTCAAGTGTGGGCGTGTGAGAAATTGTAGTGATGCTGCTGCCATTGAGACACACGATCATCATTATTATTAAGATTGTTGTTATGTGTACGCGTGTCAGAAATTGATGATCGAGAAACAAAAAAAAAGAAAGAATTCGTTTGAAAATACCGCTTTTGTCTAGTCTTAATATCCAAGAAGAATGCTTTTTTTTCTTTTTCTTGGATATCAGTAAGTGACAAATATGTTCTTTGTTAATGAACAATCTTTCTCTTGCTATATATATATATATACATACGATTTACTACTATTCAGGGACACTTTTGTTCGGTTGAACTTTTTAATGTATATATAAATGGCATTGTAAAAGATAATAATTCTCTTTCGTTCTATTGTACATTGTATGAATATATATCCAGTTGAGTCGTTTATTCATGCGCAAATGATGTGTGAAAGAAAATTTTCTATAGAATAAAATTTGTTCTTGTCGATGTAGAATGAACGATAGGATAGCAGACATTTGCCTATGCATGAAGCGTGTGTGTCTGCAAGGTGTGACTCTTGCATGAAATACAAATAATGAGTATGCTTGTCTTATTTTAGTATAGACTTTCACAACGAGACTAAAGAATCGCCATCGGCTATCTTCGTCTGAACTCTCAATCTTTCTTTTTTTCTTTTTTTTTCTCAATCGACAACGGATCATGATGCAAGTCAGTGGCTGTTGTTACTGTCAATCTTACGTCTAGATCATCAATATTACAATAGTTTTATTATATTTCATACAGGTGAGATAGACAAAATAATGATATGTTCATTTGTTTTTTTTTAATATTCAAATTTCTTTAGATTTATCATTATGTTCAATAGTTGTCCAGGATATTTAGATGATTTAGGTAATTTAATATTTTAGAAATAATTAAAAAAATAAATCTATGTTTTATTGTTTTCTCGAATATTTCTAGGCGTCTGGAATAATGGTTTCAGTTGTCAACCAATTAATAATCGAGTTCGTGTTTGTTGTGGTCCAGAAAATCGACGAGAATGTTGTTTTGTTGATCAACTTTCTCATCGATCCGATTTATCGTTTGATTCAGATCTTTCATCATCATTAAACAAAAATGAATCTCCTTTTGGTATTACACCATCTTCTTATACATTTATTCTTATTGCTATTGGACTTACTTTGGTTCTACTTATCGTATTACTTATCACATTTATTTATGTTGTTCGTCGTAAATTAAATGGATCATCATCATCATCGTCATCTTCATGCTCGTCAGATACATCTTCAATTAACAAACATTGTCGTCGTTTATCAGTTACTGTAGCTAGTTCATCTAAAAGTAATGCAAGTAGTCCTGTTCCAAGTTCATATGTGGATTATTGGTCACGTACAATTATTTCACCATCTGAATGGACATTATCAAAACCTTATAATTCATTTATAGGAGGACAACCTAGTAACAATCATAATTATTATATTGACTAATAATAATTAATTATATTTATACATTGTCTTAAGTTTGTCATTTTTTTTACATTTATGTCATGAAGTCAATAAGCAAAAATTTAATTGATGCATTTGTTTGTTTCATTGTATTGCAATAAAATTTTAATAAAAAAATGCTTAAACATTGCAAGTAAACTTGAATAAAAATGTAAAACGAGGACACAAGTACTCAAAAGTTCAATCGGTAATTATGTATCCAATGAATACCGATTTATAAATGAATGTAATAGTCGAAAAGATGTTTTAAAATATTATAGAAGTAGTAGTTTGTCGTTGCAAAAACGAAAGCGACACCCTTTGGTTAAGAAAAGAAAAAAAAAATCATTCAAATTTACATTGGTTAATTTATTTATATTTGCTTTCAAAGTTATAAACAAAAAGAAAGCATATATGAAGAAAAAATTTTTAAATACTAAATATTTAGGTAGTTGTGTAAAAGTTTTGTTAGTAATAATATAAATATATATATCTAGCCAACCTACTATGATTAATGGAAAAATCAAATAAAACACCTTATGAAATATTGAGAGTTTCTCAAAACATTGACTATGTTAAATTACGTATATATTATCGACAAATAATTCATGATTATAAGCAAAATAAAATTTCAGCTGAAGAATTTCGATCGAAAATTCGTGCATATGAAACATTATCCGATTATGATAAACGTAAAAAGTATGATTCTCAAAAAGAATGGATCTCTGATCTACCATTAATACAATATACAACACAACAATTAGCTGCTGAACCTGCACTAATATCAATTTTAAAAGATCGATTACGTCATGCTAATTTAACAAAAATCAATGCTCAAGATCCAATAACAGGTCATACAACACTTTATTGTGCAGCACGTGCTGGTAATGTAGCAGCTGTACAATTTTTAACAGAACAAGGAGCTGAACCTGACTTATCACAACGTACGAAAAGTACGGCTTTACATGTTGCTTCATTTTATGGACATGCTGATGTTGTTCGTTGTCTATTGGAGAGTGGAGCCGATTATCGAATATTAAATGTAGGTAATAAAACAGCACAAGACGAAGCAATTAATGAAGATGTTGAATGTGCCTTTATTGAACTTAAACAGATGCCATACGTTAGAGCTGCTGCTAATGAAATTGATTGGTTTTCGAACAGTAATTTATTAGAACATATTGATGAAGAATATTATTCTCAACGTCAAACATTGTTACATTGTGCTAGTAAAAAAGGCTATTTGGATCTTGTACATCTATTTGTCGAAAAATTATCGGCTAATATTGATATTGTTGATGTAAATGGAAATTCTGCTTTACATCTTGCAGCTTATGGTGGTCATGTTGAGATTGTTAATTATCTTCTTAACCAAGGTTGTAATTCAATTCTTAACAATCGATGGGGTTTAACAGCTGAACAAGAAGGTAGTAAACACGGTAATAATATAACTGATATTTTTCAATCTATGCGTAATCAAGATATGTTTGAAATGGCACGTAAAGGTATAGATTGGTGGTTTCAATATTATTTTGATACTAGATCACCAGATACAATAGATTCTGAAGGTATAAGCTTACTTCATCATGCATGTTGTCATGGACAATATACGATTGCTAAATGGTTGTTAGAACATAAAGCTAATATTAATATGCGAATGAAAGAAACGCCTAAAAATACGTCATTACACATAGCAAAATATTATGGTCATCTAAAAATTATTGAACTTCTACTTGAATATGGTGCAGATGTAACTATTAAAAATGATTATAGAGCAACTGTTTTTGAAGAAAGATTTTCTAAAGAAGTCAATCATGATATAGCAAGAAAAATTTATGATCTTTTATTACAATATCGAAATAATCTCAAGCATCACAAATTAATTGATGTTCATATATATTTAGATGAAGATCAAGATGGTGACGATGATCCAAAAGTCAAAATACAATTGCATCATGCTGATACATATGATGATCTATTATATGCATTGCCTAGCTATTTAAAAAATCAATGTAATTATTTTTCTATAGCTCGACGACCATTACATTTTGAGAAGAAAGAAACAACTATAATATCTGCCGTAGGTCGTGCACGTTATAGAAATTCAAAATTTATTGATACACCACTTCGTCTTACTCTTCATAAGAAACCACCTAATGAAAATAATAGTCATCAATGTATTCGACAAGATCCTAAATTTGATTTTTATTCATACAATAAATACTTTCAAACTAAAGCAAGTGTCATTAATGTTCAATTAAAACCTTCAGCAGATAAGCAAATAATCAATGTTGGTGATTTAACATTCACGTTCTCTGAAAGTTCTATCAAAGATAACATTGAATTTGAAGTCAGAGCACTTTTTTCAACTGATATTGAAATGTTTACTTTACCAGGATGTATCTGTCTGTTCGAAACAAGCCTTTATGAAGATACTCACAAACTTCTAGAACTTCCTTTCGTATCAATGACTAATCAACTAAATGCTCGTCTATATACATTGGCTATATCTACTCCTTATTGGTTTAGTTGTGACACTCGGCGAACACGTCTTCCGATGCTTGATGGTATTCATGCATTCATACAACATGTTAGTGTTATTCCAATCGAACTTATATTATCAGTAGATATGCTTATTTCAGCTACTATTGAAAAACCATTAATTTCACGAGAACAACCTGTCAAATGTACTTGTTTAGTTTTACAAGAGCATGATTCGATTAACTTTCCAGAAATTGCTTATCATGGAACGAATATTTCAGTTGTTCGATCAATCCTTGTCGATGGACTCGTCGTACCGGGAACGGTAGTCAGCAATGGATCACGTGTTACTCGTCGTAAAAATCATATCCGACGGAACCGTGAAGCTTTCAATATTACTGATTATGCTGATGCTATTTTTTTAAGTCCTAGTGTACATTATAGTTGTGATCCAACATATGCTGTAGCCTTTCCTTATGGTGATCGACAATTGCTACCCGTCTTTGAATGTAGTGTGAAGAAAAATGGCTATTCTCATTTTCCGTGCACTGTTTCACAATATACTGCACATTCAGATGATAATTTACAAGCCATTGAATGGAGAATTCTAGATCCAGAAAATATTGCAATAAATGCTATACTATTTATTCCGACGATCGATTCACTTGAAACTATAAAACGAGAAAGAATTACTAAACTTACTACAAGTTCAATTAGTACGTAAACATGATTATAAAAGCAAATAAAACAACGATATGTGATCGATTTTCTATTTGATAATTTTAATATTACATGTTTTTTGTTTACTGATAAAGATATTTTGTAGATCTTTTTGTATAAAAGAAGAATTTATAACCGTTGTTTCCGTCACTTTTTGTTTCGAGGTAATTTCATTTGAACCGGACTTTTTTCGAGCACCCGGCTATCAAAAACCAATTAGAAGTACATGGAAATCAGATCAAAATATCGTTCTTATTCCTGGTTAAGGACAACATTTTGTGACTTGATTCGATCTTTTATTGAATAACGTTTTAACGACTTGATTCGACTAGATATGACCTTTACTTTGTTACAGTTATTAATTTTAAAGTTTAAACATATAAAACTAATAATAATTCTTGTTGAAAACAAAATTTGCCAGTTTCTGAATCAATATTTAATGTTTAACTCGAATACTCTAATCTTAATCTAAACATGCTAAAATAAAGCCATCAGTGACACATTATATGATAAGCAATCGTACAAGAAAACGGACAGCTATTTCGTCATCTGAAAAATAATGACTGATGGAAAATATCAAATAGAAAGAAAAATACGTTTAATCTTTCGTTGTTCTCACAGATACGTGTGTGTCCATGAAGATTTATAGATATGTATACAAATTGAAACACATAGACAACATTAGTTAAATATGAACACTCCAAATAGCTGCGCAAGATCAATATACTTAATTTACCTAATGAAGTGTTACTTGCAACTTATAAGGCTTTGAATATGATCGATATACTGTATTTACTAGTGAATATTCATCAGTGATTTCATCATTTGGTATTTGATTCTATTTCTCAAAGAGAAAACCAAATTCTTGAGACATGAAAACGTCGTGTGCGGAGCGAAATACAAGTAACAATGGTTGCATTTTGAACTAATGATGAATTATTCAATAATCGAGTTTTACCTCACGAAGATAAAGATAAAGCTGCTGATGCATGACTTACAGGACGTATATGAGAAATATTAAAATAATTACAATTATCAAGCTTTAAACAAGGTAAAACTAGATAAAAAAGAGAATGAAAAATAACTTGTAATCATCGTCCAAAAATGATTGGTAATTTTGTAAGAGACTACGTAAATTAATAAACAGTAATGGACAACAAATAGGTAATAGTTAAATGAGATTTTTTGTGTAATCAGATTGACATATCTATTTATATAATAGTGTTTTTCGTTTTCTTTTATAAAATACTTTGTCGATCGAGTTGAAAATTTTATCGCTATATTCTTCTTATTATATTTTTATTACTAGAACAGAAGATATTATTCAATAATATGCCATTTGAAAACTGACAAAAGTGTTTAAGATCCATATAAACATATTTGGTTAGAGGCCATTGCATCTTTTTTTTTTCATGAGCTAATTTTGTCATGCCTCATGACCTGTGAAATAACCTGTAACCAGAATATTGTGATGTTTACAATTCGTTTATTTTCTAAAGCTTCTATAAAACACGACTATTAGTGAGTAATGCAAGATATAGGTAGAAAAATGAATTCCGATCCTATCTTACAGACTTGTTAGTGTTTTATTACAATATCGCAGAGAATGGAAACCTTCTCGACATATATGTCGGAGTCAGTGATAGACATCGTGAAGTTTCTCTAAACTGATTAAACTGACTCGCTTCTGTTTCACAATTTTATTTCGTAGCAGTCGTTCTGACAGTTTTTATTCAAAAATATTGAAACTCTAGGAACAATACACAATGATGAAGATATGTGATTCAGTGAAATCTCACTTGTCCAATTTACTACTTCTCATCTTAAATAGCTTTCGAGATGTATTCATTTTTCTGACAATATTGATTATATACCATCTTCTCTTTCAACACTAATCAATTTAACCTTTGCTGTTTTTCGTACATCTAATGTTTCAAAAATGATTTCTTTTTTTGCAAAATATACCAAATCTACGTCGTTGGAATGTCACTTTATGTTCTAAATTAATTAATAGTCATCAATGGAAAAAAATCATTGGTAATTATTTGCCTAAACTTAAATTATTTGAATTCAATATGAACAAAACATTTTATTCGGATGGAATTACACAAGATCAAGTCAATCAATTAATTGATTCATTTCGAAGTTCATTCTGGATTGAAGAACATCAATCGTTTGTTCAATATGTTACAGAAAAGGAAACTATTTATCTTCACACTCTATCTAAATCATGCCATTATTGTGAAGGACATCTTTTCGTCTTATGGAGATCAATATATTCATATGATAATCAACAAACATTTATGGTAGATGAAGATGTATATGATATGACTGTTTAAAAAAAATCTTCATCAACTGCGATAAATAATATAAGAGAAGAAATAATGTCATTCATTCATTGTCTATTTACATCATTAGACAAGAAAAAATACACAACATTGTTTTTATTGACGATATCGGTCGAGTGATTATAAGTATACACGTACAATTATTGATATTTATAACGTAAGAAAAATAAATATACATATAGATCAAGATGGAATATTCATCTGTTCAATTGAATGATTTACTTGATGAAATTATTTTTATTATTTTCAAAAAGTTAAATAAACTTGATGTACTGTACTCTTTCATAGATGTTAATAAACGACTCAATGAAATTGTGCATGATCCCACTTTTACTAGTGGTTTAACATTATTCAATTATTTATCGTGTGATTATATTTATCCATTATCTGATTTAATGCTTGATCGATTTTGTTTACATATCTTACCTAAAATAGGTCATAAAATCAAATGGCTTGATCTTGAACCATTATCTATGAAACGTATTCTTCTTTCTGCAAATTATCCAAATTTATTTGGACTTGGTATATATAACATTGAAAAACAGGCTGTTTTAAATCTATTCACTGGTAAAATATTTTTATTTCGATTCTTTTAATAACTGATATATTAAAATGAATGACAGTTCGGATAATTTTAAATAACTTTATACAGTTAGATATCTACATATTTGATTATATCGTAAAATAATTCTTTTGTTTAAACAAAGACAAGAAAGATGATTAAAAGAATATATACTATAACTAGATCATTAATTATATTGTGTAATAATTTTTGTATTTATATTTAGACAAAACTTCTTTAATGCATAGATTCAAAAATGACATCTTATCATTTATGATTAAAACTATTAACATACAACAAGGTGATCCAATAAATTTGGATACACTTATGTTCACACATATTTTTAATATGTTCACTAACTTACAATATTTAAATTTCGATCCATTTTTTCTTTGTTATCAACGAATATCATTCTGCTCTTCACCTCCAACTGTGTTCTCTTCAACTTTATTAGAATTGCGTGTCAAAGTCATGTATCTTAAAGATTGTCTTTATTTACTTGATGGTCGTTTCAATCAACTTCGGACATTTTGTGTTGATATAGGAATGTCACCTTCTCCTCGTTCGGTTTTAATAATAAATAAGGTATGTTTTTTATTAAACTCCACCAATATATAATTTATCTTTTAGGAAAAGCTACCAAATTTACGATGTTTTTCATTATCTTGTCTTTTGAGTATATATTTTTATGATACAGTAATCATACCACTTTTACATCGAATGTCAAATTTAGAACAACTTAGTTTGTATTTATCGCACGCTCATCGCAATAGATTTATTAATGGAAATGACTTGAAACAAAATATTATTGATTATTTACCACGATTAAATCAATTTCGGTTTAATATTCGTTCAATTATGTTGTTAAAAGATCAAATTGATTTACCATCTAATGAAGATATTCAACATACATTCAAAGATTTTTTAAATAATAAAATTATTTCTTGTGTCAATTATTTTCTAGAAGATAGTAAAGGTGAATGTCTTATCTATTCATATCCATCAGAGATGGGACCGGTTCGGTTTTTAACCGAACCGACCGACCGTAACCGAAATCGGTTCGATTCGAGATTTTTAAAAAATTCGGTCGGTTACGTTCGGTTCGGTTAGGGATTTTTTCGGTTACAATCGGTTCGGTTAGAAATTTTAAAAAATTCGGTCGGTTACGTTCGATTCGGTTAGAAAGAATCGACATAATCTTTTGATTTGAGTTTGGACTTTTTAAGACATAAGAAGAAAAAAGAGTGTAATCGTACAACAATTAGCTGTTG